CGAACTTACAGCTTCCAAGCTTAGCAGCCCCATAGGAAAAATTGAGTTCTTGCCTACTATTTTAATATAATGTATAAGGAAAATCCCTGATTGGCCCAGCTTGGTGTATGTTGCCTTTTCCATGGACCAATCCCTGAAGCCAGGGGGATGGGGCAATACACTGTGACTCGCAGTCCCACGAGAACCACATGGAATGGGTAGCAGGACAGGAACAACCGTATGGAGGAAGTGGAGGAAGGTGGATACTGATGTCAGAATTGGGAAGGGATGTTGGACAAACAAAAACAGATCTGTTATACATGCCTGCATTATAGAAAGGATTCAGCAGAAAACTGGCAGCAGCATCCCTTAGTTTGCAAAACACCGTGTGTGTATATATATAATTATATATGTATAACTGTCTCCTGGTCTTACTATAGACATCCTCTTGCACAGTGTGGTCCAAAAAGTTGCACTCCATAATGTGCCTATCCATTCAAAACCCTCTCTAGAACTTCTTAGCACTTCCCTTTTAATTACAGTCCCCAGCATATGTGCACATAGTCCTGTCCCAGGGAGACTGAAATTCCTGATTTGAGGTAGAGTAAAGTAATTGCACACAGGTGTGGGGATAGGTAGGGAAGGATTGCATGTTCCCTTAGTTTTCTGTCTCCAGGGTTTGTTTCTCATTACTCTCTGATGAGCAAAATTCATTTTCACCGCAGTCCCTCAGCGTGATGGGAAGACTTTAACAAAAAGTCAGACCTGCCCTTCTGTCTGCTCCTCAGGTGTGCAGAGGTTTTTGACTGCTCTCAGCCAAGCAACTTGCTTACCCTATGGGACCAACCTTGGGGACACAGACACGAACGTCACAGTGTACTGAGCCAAGAAAGCAAACAGAGCTGCCTGGTGGGGACCGTCACCTCTCTCCTCTGGCTTGTGACCTTTCTAGCAACTTGTGAGCCATTTCTAAGACTCCAGACATGTCTGTTCCATGCTTTGTGTTAAGTAGCGGCTTTGAAACTTTTAAAGAAAATTAAACCCATGGTAAAACATACATTTTACATTGAAGTAGTACACACACACACACACACAATATAACCAAAAATATTTCTTGAAAAATGACTAATATTTACCCCTACCATCGTATTGCACTCTGATATATTCTATTCAATTTTATTTCATTTTTTAAAAAATTGCTGAGTATATTGATTTCATGACAGGTCACAACCTACAGTTTGGAGAGTATATAGCCCAACCATTCCATGCACTGCCCAAGTGCGTCATCAGCTAAAACCATGAACACCTTCTCATCAAATGCTTCCAGAGCCCTTTGTTTCAGGACTCTGGCCCCAGGAGAACATGAACCGTGCTAGATTAAGTAGGCGGGTTCTCGGTCTCAGACATCATCTTCCTAGTCTTTCATGACGTGACTCATGGAAGGGAGGGGAAGGGACACTTTCTCAGCTGCATAAATTCCTTCCCCAATATGTCAGCACAGGTGGTCACCCAGCCTCTGCTCCCCAGCTCCAGTAGCTCACTGCCTGCTGCTTTAGCTGAGTTATTGAAGAGATCTTTGACATTTCTAATAAAAATGACCTTGCTGCCATGTGCATTCCTCCATCTGGTCCTGCCCTTTGAAGCCAGGTGAGTTCAATCTCTTTTCCACACTGTATTTTAAACCTTTAGAAGACAACACCCATTATTGTCCTGAATTCCCCATCACAAACTCCTTCTATCTCTAAGGGACAGGGTTCCCAGGTCCCTTGCCATCATCCCGTCTGCTGTTTTTGGACACCCACTTATTTGCCAACATTCTTCTGAAAGTGTGGCTTCCAGAACAAGGAATTGAGTACTTGGTGAATATAGATGTGTGTGTGTGTGTAAAATCCTATTTTAAGAAATCAGGTGATGTGTCAGAGCCCTTGATTCCAAGATTGTAAACCGTTGTCCTACCTGCATGACATTGGGCCAGCCCTTCTCCTTTTTGATTTCTTCATTGTTTAAAAAAAAAAAGGGCTTCCCTGGTGGCACAGTGGTTGACAGTCCGCCTGCCGATGCAGGGGACACGGGTTCGTGCCCCGGTCCGGGAAGATCCCACATGCCGCGGAGCGGCTGGGCCCGTGAGCCATGGCCACTGAGCCTGCGCATCCGGAGCCTGTGCTCCGCAACGGGAGAGACCACAGCAGTGAGAGGTCCGTGTACCGCAAAAAAAAAAAAAAAAGGTTGTATTGTTTAATGGGTACAGAGTCTCAGTTTGGGATGATGAACAAATTCTGTAAATGAGTAATGGTGATGATTGCACAACATTTTGAATGTACTTAATGTGACCAAATTGTGCACTTAAAAATGGTCAAAATGATAACTTTTATGTCATGTATATTTTACCACGATTAAAAAAAAGAGAGAGGGTTAGATAAGATGATCTCTAAGATTCCTTTGAACATTTCTAAAGCTTTTACCATCTGACCCCACAATAGTTCGACTTAAAGGCCTGAAGGACCAGGCTCAGATCTGAGCCTTCCATGGAAAGTGGTGGCAAGATGCTGACAGAGATTCTCAGTCCAGAATGAGGGAGGCTGGTGTTCAGCACCCCCATGCACAACCCCTCACACGCATTGTCCTGGAACTGAGTGGTCTAGTGAAGCCTAAACACATCCCCGAGAAATCAGAACAGTGATTCCGGCTAGAACCCCTAGGCTCAGAGTCCCTGGAGGGCATGAAATACAAGCAAATGCTCCTCTGACAGCCTGACCTCTTAGTTATCTTGAGGGCCAACTCAGAGAAGACCCAGAGGCCCAGCCCTGAGAAATTCCTTCCCTGCTCCCTGTCTTTGGTTTTTAAAATCCTTTCTCCTGCTATCTATTCTAGGGCGGTGGTGGGTTTAGAGAGCTATTGGCATGCGGGTGGGAAAGCTATCCAGTTGGGCTTTAATTCTTTTTCCCTAGTTGTGGGAAGCAGCCTCCTCTCTTCCATTTAAAAGGTGGAAGGAAGGGGAAAACAACAGAAACCCCAAACAAGCTGAATCTGAGGCCTGAACAGACAGCCTCACGTGGGCCGGCAAAGGGCAATTGTGCTGTTGTGTGACCCGAGCACCCTTGCCTTGGTGCTCTTGACCGGGTCAGCACCCTCAGGCTGCCTCCCTGGGGCTGCACTGGGATTTCCAGACCTTCCAAGAAGTAGCACCCAGGTCTGATGGCCAAGCCCCTCCCCTCCACCCCTCCACCCACCCCCCACCCTCGACCCCCGTGACAATGTGAAAGGCTCTGCACCTCAGTCAAGAGATATTCAGGGTCTTTGAAGTGAAAAAGGAGGACCTAGAGTATTTGGTTTTTCAATGATTTTCTTCTTCTTTTTACAAACTCTGGGAGGACGCCCAGGCAGCTGAAAACTACATCAAGGGCCTGATTTAGGGAGTGTTGTCATATTTCATCTATTCAACAAATAGCTGGAAGCAATTCCACAGGGACACTAAGAGGCAAGATGAGATGATGTTCATTCAGTGTGGATCTGGTACCCTTCTTGTGATGCAGAGCTGAGGAGACCCCAGCACTCACCAAGGTCGACAAAGAGCCCAAGGAAGGAGTTAAGACTGAGAAAGAAGATGACATTAACTTGAAGGTGGCTGGTTCTGTGGTGCAGTTTAAGATTAAGAGGCATTTTTATGCCACCTAATGGAAGCCTGTTGTAAACAACAGGGTTTGTCAGTGAGGCAGACCAGATTCTGATTTCAGGGGCAGCCAATCAATGAAACAGACACACCTGCACAAGTGGAAATGGAGGATGAAGATACAATTAATGTGTTCTAGCCGTGTCTGCCAAAAAGGAATCTGGTACCTTACTCCAGAACTCTGTTCCTACAGACCACGAGTACGTTCACTATTAGAAAACCACAACCTGGGGTTTCCCTGGTGGCGCAGTGGTTAAGAATCCGCCTGCCAATGCAGGGGACACGGGTTTGAGCCCTGGTCCGGGGAGATCCCACATGCCGCGGAGCAACTAAGCCTGTGCGCCACAACTACTGAGCCTGTGCTCTAGAGCCCGCGAGCCACAACTATTGAGCCTGTGTGCGGTAGCTAGAAGCCACTGCAATGAGAAGGCTGTGCACTGCAAGGAAAAGTAGCCCCCGCTCACTGCAACTAGAGAAAGCCCGTGCAGAGCAACGAAGACCCAACGCAGCCAAAAATAAATAAATAAATAAAATTAAAAAAAAGAAAACCACAATCTGTTTCCACCACATCCTGACTACAAAACAGTTTTCTCTATTCTTTTATTTTCCTGTTCCTGTTCCTTTATTGTATAGCCAGGAATGGTGTATGTGCACAAACATGCTGCATTAAAAAAAAAAAATCGAAATAGCCAATAGGATATTTTGATCAATTTCAAGTGGAGGTGGGATGGGGAAACTTCCTGATTCCATGGAAATTCTCCCTTTCCATTAGCTGCATGCTCCTTCAGCTCCTATCTTTACATTCCAGTAAGTTGTTTTGCTCTCTCACTGTTTAACAAAAAACAACAACATAAAAAATCCTTGCATAGTTTGTTCTATTGTAGACCTTTAGTGTTTTTCATTTATCATTGTAAAACCACGGGCAATTTGATAACATTTTTGTATGTAGCTGTTACACATAGGACAATCTGTCTTGAAGCGGGGATAGTTGCTCTAAAAGGAATGCATTCTATATAGTTTTTCTTTCAAGTCAAGCAGCTTGTTGTTGAAGTAAACTTCTTGTTCAAATTGAGAAAGAAAAAAGAGATGAAACCAGGATAACACTCCCAGGTGGCGGTCTGGGTATCTATTAACAATTATAGAACCAAACCATTTGAAACCCATTAGAGGGGAAGGCAGGCCTAGCATGAGGGCATCCCTCCCACTTTCCCCCAAACATCAAGTGCTTTCCTCCCAACACAAGGCGCCATGTCAGGCATCCACATCTGGGGCCCAAGTGTGGTACATTAGTCATGGCTTTGAGTTCTGGAGTCAGTCAGACCTGTGTTCAAATCCTGAACCCGACACTTACCAGCTGTGTGACTCTGCGCAAACATTTCATGCTTTCCGGACCTTTCTGTGCCATTTTTTCCAGGTTGCGTGTCCCATCTATAAAGTGAGGTACTTCATAGGTGGTTGTGAGAGCAGATGAGATAGTACACATAAAGTGCTTAGTGAACAGCGAGGACTCAGTAACCTACATCATTATATTCTGTGGTCTTCCCAGTCTGTGAGAGCTGAAAGCCATTTGCTCTCTTCAATGGTCAGAGCTACATGGATTTTTCTCCCCAATGTCTTATTACAAAAAATTTCAAACGTACAGAAAAGTTGAAAACTATACACTGAACATCCATATACTTATCACCTAGATTCTATAATTAGCATTTTGCTATAAATGAGTTACCACGTACTTTTTAAATCTCTTATCTACCCATCAATTCATCTGCTTTTAAAAATGCATTTTCAAGTAAGTTGCAGACATCAGTACTTTTCACACAGTTCTGTCTCCTTAATGAAGTTTCCCAATGGCCAGGACCCCATCTAAGGCTTCCGTATGCCAGCTTGAAACACTGCCTTCCTTGAAGGTGCCAAATGCGTGTGTGTGATTGACTTAGATGGAAAAAAGTAAGGATATTACATCTGTTAGATATAAATGTAATTGATGTGTGAGTCCAAACAACTTAATGAGCTTTAGTCTTTTAAACATATTTTGGACCACATATCATGAGTAGGAAAGTTTGTGCTTTACTCAGTCTATATTCTGTAGAGGAAATAGCCATAGAATATAACACCTTAACCAAGAGCCTTGATTCATGACGCTTTGAATAAAAATATGGTTCCGCTAACCCTGTGTTGTTAAGGTAGGGCTGGCTGCCTGAGCCACCATGGCTGTATACTTTGGATTATTAGCATCATAATTTTGGAGGAGAAAACCTTGCTATCCAAGAACCTTCTCTGAAGTGTTACCCCAGTCTTAATATCCACCCCAAGGCTGAAGGCCGGGAAAACAGAATTTCAATCCAGGGCACATCAAAGTGTGTTCTGGTGTGAGGTTTCTTCCAATGCCCCAGACCTATCCTCCAAACAAAACCTCCCTGTTTTCCATAAAGGGCACTGGTTTCTAGGGGACTGTGTGAATGAAGAAAGTCCAGTTCCATTCAGGTCTTATCTATTCACTTGCTTCCCAACTCATTCACAGGAAACCCAAGTTGAAATGTCTTTAAGTAAACTTTCTTTGATACCATAAATGCCTTCATTTGGGGCAGGCAAATGCTCTGCCGACTCAGCTGGTTTACATTTTTTTCAGATTGTGTTTACAAAAAGGAAAAACTGAGCTAATTTTTTTACCAAGGCTTCTCCTCTCTCCCTCCATGAGACCGAGTTAGCCAAAAGCCAAAAAATTATTCTGACAACATAACTGTGTCCTTACCCTGCATGTTTTTTTTTTCTTCCAAAATGAAGAAAAAACCCCAAACCTGTGGTCATGTATAGTTTTCATGAGAGGAAAGAGCTGTTGACACCCAGCAGATGGGGCCTGGGTGGCATTGGTTCCGCCCTGGAGCTGGGGAGGGTTTTCAGGGAAAGGAGAGAATCAGAGTAGATATACTTGCAATGACTTGTGTACACTGGGAGCTTAGTAAATGTAAAATGAGCCTAAGTGGGATTTTACTGCAAAAGTCAGGGTACAAAGGCACTTCTCCAGCAGTAGGATAGTATTCAAAAGGGCCTCTTTGGGGAGACATCTAGTTTAAAAAAAGAAAGCAACTTACGATCTCAGCATTTTTGGAGAAATGTGTTTTGTTCACTTCCTGCTACAGCCCACCTGCTGCATATGGCCCCATGGTCCCCTCAGGAGTTACAGACTATCATAGTTACTGGCTGTTCTCCAGAGAGACTGGCCTTGTCCAGTGGAGGTACTGAGAGGTGGTTCCTGAAACAGCCAAGAATAAGAGGGCCACAGGGAGTATGTCCAGCATGCCTGGACCGCGCCAAGGGTCAAGACTGGGGGAGCCCAAGTCTGTGTCCAGTGCATTTAACATGGTGCCTGGAACAAGTACAAAACGCCCGCTGGATTGGCTGGTGAAATGGATGGAAAGTGAAAGAGAGGGTAGGAGGTGATAGGGAGAGGCCAGGACGATCTACTGTATTAATTGTCCTGAGTCACCAGGACAGTTTCCCTGGGCAGACGTAATGTCCCAGCTTGTGTTTTATTTCTTGCCCAGTGCATGGCGAGTCTGTTTGGTTTACATTGAATCACAGCACCCAGGAAAACACCTGCCTTCAGAACAAAGTGATTTTGCTTTCTGGAGCTGCTATCAGCATTAGCAGGCTCACCTTCACTCTGGGGTCAAAAAGATCTGCCTCTTGAAGGTACAAGTCAAAGCTAAACAGTGTCAGATTTTTAAAACCTATGACCTTTAACTGCACTGTTGATTCACAATGTCAAAAAGCCTCAATCTTCTTCTGGACTGGAAAGTTTTAAAGATACTTGGCACAAAGTTGGATACTGAATCCACATTAAAAAAAAGAAATCTTTCTATCTCAGCTGGAAGAGCTTCATTTTAACTGTCAGAGCCCTGCTTGATAGACTTATAAACTATGACAATAAAATAATGAAAGTTTGGGTTTCCCTGGTGGCGCAGTGGTTGAGAGCCCGCCTGCTGATGCAGGGGACACGGGTTCGTGCCCCGGTCCAGGAAGATCTCACATGCCGCAGAGCGGCTGTGCCCGTGAGCCATGGCCGCTAAGCCTGCGCATCCAGAGCCTGTGCTCTGCAACGGGAGGGGCCGCGACAGTGACAGGCCCGCGTACCGCAAAAAAATAAAAAAACTAAAAAAAATAAAATAATGAAACTTTTTAACAAATCCATTAGAATGTGCAACCCAAATATATGTCTATATACCCAAATAAATGTTGGTCTTGAAAGCATCTTTTTAGTCAAATGGTGCCATTATTGCCCAAATCATTTTCCAAATTTCTCTTTCAGAGTAGCCTTCAAAACAACTGGCACGAAAGCAGAAAGATGTCACCTAACTTAATAGTCACAGGGTTGCTTTTTTTTTTTTTGCGTTACGCAGGCCTCTCACTGCCGTGACCTCTCCCGTTGCGGAGCACAGGCTCCGGACGCGCAGGCTCAGCGGCCATGGCTCACGGGCCCAGCCGCTCCGCGGCATGTGGGATCTTCCCAGACCGGGGCACGAACCCGTGTCCCCTGCATCGGCAGGCGGACTCTCAACCACTGCGCCACCAAGGAAGCCCAGGGTTGCTTTTTTTTCATCCAATGCAATTCTCTGCCTTTCACATTTTTTGCAACTTTAACCTTGCTCTTCTCCCCTCCTTCCCATCATGAACTAATAACTAGGGGATCCCAAGAGATGGTTGTAATGGTGTTACCTGAGAATGGAAAGGTCCGGGAGAAAGACTGTGGGACAAACAACAGCCTGGGATCTGAGAGACTGATGGAGCATGACCACTGCCTCAGGTCCTTTGGATACTGAGTCACTGTAAGAAATTGAAGCGGATAACTGGCCAAACTGTCCTCAACCCAAATCATCTCAAACTGGACCCCCATTAAGTCAGGGAATATTTCTTGGCTATAGCCAAGAGGTAGCACCATGCATCTAATATAGATCTGGACCTTGGTCAAGGTCCTTTTGTGCAACAGTCCAGAACACCAACACGGGAGGAGCCATGCTGGTGCTGGTTGCCACTGGGTGGCAGGCAAGTTTGTGGCACAGAGGTAAGGTAGAAAAGAACCCATTGCTGTTTGGATTCCCTCAATGGCAGCAGCTGTAAGAAATACTTATGAGTTAGCTTGGGCCAGTGTGTGGGGAAAGATTAGTCTGAGGGAGTTCTTAGCTGTGTGGGAGGAGAGAACACCAATTCAGAGCCAAGGGTAATATAGCACCTGTGGCGTGTACCCAGATTTGGAACCAACCAGAAGACCTCCTTGGCTTCTTGGGAGGATTAAATATTTATGCAAATATTTTGAAAGTACAAAATGCTTTCATTGATATATTATTCACCACCCTTGTTATCCACCAGGAAAGCAAATAAACATCAACATTTCTTCCCCTCCAGTTATCACTTACCTATATCTACCCCATCTCCTCTGCTCCTTGCTCTTTCCCAAGCTTAGACTGTTCCTATTGTTATCCAAGGCTAATTACTTGTGCAATGCCTGTGCTCTTCTAGATCCATCCCTCCCTGCTTCCTGAGTCTTTGTTTTATCAGTTATGACCCATTCATTCACCTCTTCAACCTCTCCCTCCCTCTTCCCCATCATCATTCAAACAAGCTCTAAGATTTCACAACTAGAAAAGAGAAAAATGCTCTCTCATGCCATTACATTCCTACAGGTACTTCTTGTTTCTCACACTATTGCCTTTTCTTCATAGGCAGCGTCAGGAAAGGGCAATCTCTACTCCCTCCCTCCAGTTGATTACATTTTATTCATACCTGAGCTCAGTACATTCTGGCTCCTGAATCCATCACTGCGCAGGAACTGGTTTTGTCAAGGTGGTCAGTGACCACCCCCACTAAATCCAAAGGACATGATTTTGCTCTTATATTGATCAACTTTCTAAACTCTTTTCCCTCAGCTTTTATGGGAACACACCCTCCTGCTGTTTCTCTCACTTTTCCAACCGTCATGTCCCATTTTTCTTCCTTTATTGGTTCCTCAAATATTGGGGATCCCTCTTGGCCTCTAGGCACATGGATGGTTCTTTAACTCTTAGGAGGAAACTGGTTGGCACATAGTTACTTCAGAGCCAAGACCCTTTCTTGAGCCCCACATTTTGGAGTTGGTGCCTTCTCTCTTGGCCCCTTCTTTGGGATTCTGATCTTCCTGGCTATCTGGTGTAGTGAGTCAGCCAGTGGCCATCTGCTGCTGGGAAAGCACATGTCCTAAAGATGCAATGTCCACCAGCAGTGCTCCAAGCATCAGTATAAACCTGTCTTTGTTTCCTTATCTTTTGGGCCATTCCTTTTCTAGGGTTTACCCGGTCTCTCTCTAAAGGGGATAAGACAGAGTGGAGACTTGCATCTGGGCTTATGAAGACAGGTGGCCACTCAGTCTGTTCTTAGATCTGCCTACCACAGTCCAGAGAGTCTGTGCAGCTCTATTACCTAAGCCCAGCTCACCAGGGCTAGGGCTCCTCTTTGAGGTCCTGGGCTAAAGCCCTCAAACATCCATTCCTTGGGGGATTCCTCTGTTTGGCTACATTCTTCATGTACTTACCTGCCCCAAGGTCCTAAAACAGGATTTAGGTGTTGAGGTCCTGGGGACAGGTATTCTCAAGTGCATCCCAATCTGACCAACTTGTATCCACAGCCTCTGTCTTCTCTGTATGTACTTTTTCTGAGAGATCTGATCCACCTACAGGGCTCCAAACTCTGCACTCTGGTGATGTTGCCGAATCACGATCCTTAGTACACAGACAGGGCTCCTGACCTCCAGGCCCGTATTCACTTATGTGGATGAAAAATGTCGCCTGCCATGTCAGCCAACAAATGATGTGGCGGCCATCAAGCCATCAGCCACTGTAGCTGTCCCGACTGTGCACTCTTCGGGGATTCAGGCTGGAGAAAAGCAGGATGCTGGCCCTAGATAGTCAAGGTGTACATCAAAGCAGTGATTTCAATAAGCACAGACTCTTGCCTCTTCCCATACACAGAAAAGTGCTAACTTCATTAACTTGGGATGTTTGGTTTTTATTTAATAAAAGTAATTGTTTGATGTTCTGACTACCTGGATTTTTTCTTTTTTTTCTTGCAAAACCTCCTATGTATCCCGGCTCCTCCCCCACCTCTTTGGAGCAGTCCCTCAGAGGGATCTGAGAGGCTGCCTCCCTGGCTTAAGTCCTCAGAAAGTCTGCCGAATAAAACATAATTCTCAACTTTTAGGTTGTGCCTTTTTTTTTTCCTTCAGTTGATACTTACATGACCAACACAACTAAAAGTTAATTCATCAACACTCCCCCCTTGTCTGGTCGGCTCTGTCTTTTCCATAAAAACCAAGATATCACCTCACTGGAAGCCTTGCCTGGCTCCCAGGATCGGGTTGGTGGCCCTCCTCTCTGTTCATATAGTGCCCTGTACTTTCCCAATATGACACTGTATTCTATTCCATAATCACTTTCTTTCCAGTTTTCCCACTAGACTGTGGATTCTATTAGGAAAGGAGTGATGTCTTGGGTATGAAATTCCAGGAGTAAGTACACTTGTGAAATGGGAAAACTCCTCTATTGCAAATTGGAATACTACTCTTCCTCAAACACTTCATCAGTTTTTTGAGCAAGGTGAACTTGGTAAGAGTCCATTTCCCCCCCCCCCCCCAAAAACCACTGTCTTCAAATGAACTCTCTCTGGGTCTCCTTTCTTGTTCTTTGGTGATTTCTCCAGGCAGATCTCAAAACTTCGTTTGCTTTCAAATATCAGTTCCATTTTAGGATCTTAAAAGTTCCAATCTACACCCAACCTGAGTCTCACCTCCAATTTAATGTTTCTTCCCTCCCTCCAACTCGGGTCTGACATGGTGGTTACGGCCGTATAATGGAGATGGGGGCATGGCTTGTTCCTTCACCCTCCTCCTCTCTCCCCCGTCCCGCCTTCTTCAGGATCCTCTAGGGCTTAGCAGATGAGGAAAAATGAGAGCAAAGGGGCAGAGGCCATCGTGTTCAACATGTGCACCGTGCGTGGCTTGTGTCTGAAGCTCTGGAGTCCCCTGCATTCTCAGTCTAGCTCTTTCGTAAGGCATATTAATGGGACTTTTGAGGTACCCTCTTCCACCTCCACTACAGGGACTTCCCACACTGCAGTCTCCAGCTGATCTCTCAGTCTCTCTCTCTGCTGGAACCCCCTGCCCCAGAAGGTAGTCCTCTCACTACTAAGGCAAGCATGGGAATCTTCTCACTCTTAGCCTTTCAAATGGCAGAGCCTCATCTTGCTATCCCTGCCACCCAGCTCCACTCTAGCCTCCTGCTTTCAGAACTTCCAGTCTTCGCGCCCCAGACTCTAGGAGACACAAGGCAAGCTCTCCCAAGACGCTTGGCATCCTCCATTCCAGTAGCAGGCCGACGTGTTTTTACCACTCAACAAGCTTCTTTGAAATGAGAGGCAAGTTCGTCTCCCTTTCTTGCAAGACACCCCCAAACCTGAGGGTCTCTTGGCTCCCCTCTTTTCTTGCTTTGGGTGGCTGGATCCCCTTCCCCCTGGGGAGGGAGGGGAAAAAAAAACAAGCTTGCTCCTCTTACAAATTCCCTTCAAAGAACCCTCAGGAACCTCTAGCCTTTCCTTCACATGTCCTGTGGGATTTCTTTAGCACCTCTCTTTAGAATGTGCGGGTTCTTATCACATTGGCTTGAGCTTTGAAGCTATAGCCAACACCTGAGACTACAGGAAAAGTTCCATTCCACAACCCGTTAGCTGTTGTCTCTGCTTAAAATAGTGTTTTTTCTTCCTTAGACCTGCCTTGCACCTCATAACAGTGCCCTCACCAACCTTACCTAAAATATCATAGTAAATAGGAAGGAAAAAAATGGGCTTGGTTAGAACTTGATCTTCGAACAAAACCAAAAATTATACATACTTAATGTACTCTATAAAATGGATGTTGTGTAATTGTGCACCAATTCTTATACTAATAAAAAGAATGAGTTGTGTTCTTTTGGCATTAGCTGTTTGATAAAATTATATAACAACACAGTATGTCTTCCTTCATTTTACATTCAAGGACAGGAAGATAAAAAGGAATATTTTTGCAAAAATATTCAAGAATTTCATCAGTTTCCTGAGGGCTGCTCTTCCATCTCTGATATTCAAATCGCCTTCTTTTGAATAGCCTGTTGTGTCAATATCCTTGTCGATTTTGGGCCAGGGGAGAGGCCCAGTGGGCAGCCTCTAAGAAGGCCCCCAGGGATCCCTGTCCCTGGTGTCCACACCCTTGAGTAATCCCCTCTCTTTGAGTATGGGCTGGATTTAGTAACTGGCTTCTAACACATAGACCATGAGAGAAGTAATTGATGTCACTTCTGAGAGAGTAGGTTATAAATGATTGTGGATTCCATCATGGGTACTTGTGCCCTCTCTCAAATCCTACCACCCCCGGACTCAGTCAAGTCTTCACTAAGATGGCCACCCTATGAGAAGCCTTGCCTGAGAAACACCCAGGCAAGATGCGCCCAGATTCCTTACCCTCAAAAACTGGAGGAGATTGCTGACTGAAAAAAAACCCCACACATATACACAATGTAAGAGCTGTGAGTTGAGTCCTACTGAGGACTATAGCCCAGGAGAGAGCCTCTCAGGTAGCTGCGAGGAACTCCTCTGAAGCAGTGGAGGAAAGGCCAGTATATGTGTGATTTTGGCTAAGGAGTATGTACAGTCAAGCCTACATCTCAGTAGAAGGTTACTGCTACTTACGAGGAACTATCTCAGTTAATGATTTCAATGCTTTGCTAAGTACGGGGAAGATGCAAGAATCCAGGTTCACAAAACAAGTTTTCCTGAGATATATCTAACTTTCTATGGGGCCTTTTCCCCCAAAGCACAGAGTGCCTCGTCCTGCATTCCTTGTGGGGTATACTGTCAATCAGTAATTGCAGTGGCTAATGACTTGATCATTATAGAAGTGGATGGTGGGCAACATTCTTTGTTTTACAAGATAATAAATATTTTTTGTCTCCAGATGTAATTTTGTGGTAATTTGTTACACAGCAATAGGTTATCAATACATGGGGCAGGAGTATTGTGTTTGGGTTGTTTCCCTGGTTTCTGAGTCCAGCTGAGAGAAAATTATGAGACTCTCTAAACAATCTTGATGACCGTGAAGACATCTGGGATCTTGGGCCCCAGGGATTTGAGGCTTTTTAAAACTGGCTTTCTAGGTCCCATTGCCACAGTCAGTACCAGTGCTCCAGGTCACGGGTCATGCATGCAACCCAGATGGTTCTGCTCTCCCTTTCTTTAACTCCCACCTCCCTACCTCTACATGGCATTCACCATTCCATGTTGTCATTGTCCTAATATACTGTGGGCTCCTTGATGGTAAAGACCATGGCTTACATATCTTTGTTACCGGCTGTGCCAGACATAGTAGGTGCCCAACAAATGTATGTGTGTGTTTTAAATACATTTGTGTGTGTGTGTGTGTGTGTGTGTGTGTGTGTGTGTGTTTGGCCGTGCAATGTGGCATGCAGGATCTTAGTTCCCCGACCAGGGATTGAACCCACACCCCCTACAGTGGAAGCACAGAGTCTTAACCACTGGACCACCAGGGAAGTCCCCTAAATACATTTGTGTCTTAACACTTTTCACCGAGGTTCATGCTATCCTAGTCTGCGCCTGGATGACTAAGAGTGGATCTCTGTTAACACCAACCCCGACCTTAAAAAAAATTTCCAACTCCACTTTCCTTAAGGAAACCATTAGTTTACCTCCACTGTATCTACACCAAAAAACCCACCTACTCTACCCTGTGGAAGGAGAAAAGCCTCTTAAAGATGGTTGGATAACTAAAGAGCATCAGGAGATATGCCGCCTGCCCTTTGCAGCTAGTCCTTGGCATTTGCAGGACTTGTCAGCTCTAGGCAGAAGCTACGCAGCCAGTTTTCTGCAGGGAAAGTCGCACAGGGAAAAGCATTTATAATAAAGCTTGAACAAATGAAGAGGGAAAATCTTAGGGAAGGTTTGGAAGATGAAGGAGGAAAATCTGAGTCTGTCCAAATGTGAGACCATAAAAAGTGTTTGAAGCCATCAGCTGATATCTTGGAGGAAATCCCAGAGTAAACAAAACCTGCCTGAGGAGTCTGGATAGTGTAATGTTCACCCCGATTTGATGAAGGTGCTGAAGTCCTTCCAGCTGATCCAAACAAAGCCCTCTGAAGATAGCCAATGCTCCAGACACACACTTCCCCAGAGCAGGCAGCGGGGCAGGGCTGCCATCAGGCTGAGTAAACACGGCCTGCAGGTGGGATGGAAGGGTTAGGGACAAGGGCCAGGCTTTGAAGCCGGGGACTGCAATGTCATCCTGAAATCAGAAGGTATGGCCTTTGAATTCAACAAACGGAACATTCATTCGACTAGTCATGTCTAAGTGCCAAGCACTGCTTGATGAGACAAAGATATTCCATGAAACAAACCAGACAGGAGACTTCCGCCTGGTGGGAAAGAGACATTTATTCGTGAATAACAATAAGTGTGACATCCTCTCTCACAGGAGAGGGGCCAGTCAGGAACACCAGTCCAGTTCAGCAGGGCTAGAGGGAAAACTTCCCAGGGGAAGGCACCTTTAAGTTTACACCTGAAGGATGAGCTAGTCCAGCAAAGAGGAAAGAGAAGAGGGAAATATGGGCTAGCCTGGGTCAAGGCTGGAATCACAGGAGTGCTGGCAGATCAGAAGAGCTGACAGAAGTACAGAGTCAGATGAAAGGCTGGGATTATTCACACCGGAAAAAGAAAGGCTAAAAGTAGAAAGAAAGTTTTCAGTTATACAGAGGACCTCCACCACTGAAGCTTGCTTGGAGGAAATGGGCTTCAGGGGTCCCGCCAGAGTAAATTGAGACTCAGGGATGGGCCAGCCCAAGGATGAGGGCCTGAAGGTGTGAAAGTGCTGTCACCAGGCAGACACAGTTGTGGTCACCAGAACTCCACTCCTGTATGGTGCTGGGTGGACTATGGCCCTTGGGGGCGAGATCACCCCAAGGGGTATGCTTTATAAGAAACCAGGGGTTGTTAAACTGCCTCTGAGAAGGGTGACTTAGTTACCTGTAGGGCTTTTGTTTCGCCAAGTGGGAAAAATGGGTTTGCCATTGGGACCAGACTTGCCGAGTTTGGGATCACAGGGGAGTGACTGGGCAGCTGCCAGTGGCCCTCCCTCTCCAGCTCCACCCCTCCCCCTGCCTCCAGTGCTCTTATTTCAATATTAATATTCCGATATTAAAAGAACATCACTCGGAAGGAGCGCCATTAGCCTTCGCAGGGGGCTCACAAGTCTCAGTTTTGCTCTGCCCATAAGAAAGGAAAAGGATCTTGCCTGTCCCCCCTCCGCCTCCTTACTTTTTCCTGCCCCCTGACACAGTTCCAAAGACGGAATAGAAAGCGGAGGCACCTGACAACTTGAAACGCACCACCTGGAAATAGGAGGACTCGCAGCCTCAGCTGAGATAATGGTTCAGGTCCGAACAAAGGCCGGCTTTGCCTTGCGTTACCCTCAGCGGGGGCTACTGTTCCACCCGCACCCCAACCCATGACAGGGCCAGTGAGATTGGGGAGGGCGGGATAGGCTGATCAGGCCACTCAAAAAAATAGCCATAGGGGCCAATAAATACATGGAAAAGTCCAACCTCCCAGCACTGAAAGAAACACACAATAATGTTCCATTTTAAAGCCTGTCAAACCAGCAAGAATTTTTAAATTGTATAATAATAAGTACCGAGAAAAGGTCAAGTTCTCTCCACTGCCCGTGTTCTGTGTACAAAGGAGGAGAGGGCAATGGCACTACCTGCTCGCTTCATCCTGCCCTCCCTGTCCCAAGAGGGCATTTCCTCCTCGTCTGGGGATGGACTAGCTACGCCTTGGCTGAGCCATGCCTGGTAACTAGGTGGCTTTGCCCAGGGGTAATCAGTGGGATGACTTAGACTGAAAGCCAGCAGAAGCCCCTCAGCAGCCCAGCCCTCCTGCAGCATCAGACCAGAGCCTGCCTTCAGAGACAGACAGCTTCCACAGCTGCGTGAGAAGCAAGGAATTACCTCTCACCGACATTTTTCCTTCCCAACCCATAAGAGGAGTTGTCCGCATAATTTACCATGGCTCAGCCACTTAACTTTTGACTTAAGACAACAATGTTTAACTATAGAAATCAAAGCATTTCTCTAACCAGGTCCTGTTGACCAACATGGAGCTCTCTCATTTATACAATGATTTAAACCAAAATATACCATCTGAAGCACACGGTCATTATTTGTGTTCCTCTTTTCAAGGAGAGATCCTCACAAGGCAATGTTCCTTATAAGAAAGTCCACATACACAGGCTAACCTTTGCATTACCTTCTTTCATCCCAACCCCCAAAGATAAATCATTACAAACAGAACTGTATAGCCTATGTATCTGAAGTGTTTGTTATGCTTCATCTCAGAGCCCTAAACACAGAGGGGGAATGAGGTTCTACGGACATTATATGATTATATAAAAGCCAGTGTTGCCAAAGTCACAGCCCTGGCACTGGTGACACTGAATCATTTAGTGAAAAAGTTAACCGCTCTTCAATACTCTTTCCTTCCAGGTCAGGAACAGTTCCTAGATCCAATGCAAGAGCAATTTATTTATCTATTGAGTATCTATTTTGCATATTTATTAAGAGTATTTATTGTGTGTATTTTTAAGATTATCCAGGATATTAGGGTTGTTGGTAAGAACCACGTCCTCCTCCAAAATTCAGCAAGATGGTAACTACAGCTAGAGACTAGTTGATGCCAATTGGTCCCAGAACAAGATAGGACATTCCATTCCATTTTCCAGCCAGTACCCTCCTCAGAAGCTGCACTGCGTTTTGAGAACCCACCTGTCGCTCTCTTCGCCTCCTCCTATTAGCATTGTGCTGTCGGTTTTGTCTCTGCGTTCACGGGGAGGATGGTCACCAGCCTCAGAGACCTGCGTGGGGGAAGGCGATTTTCCTACGAAATACATGAAAAACATTAATAAGCTTCCTCTCCAGGCTGAGTAATTCCAACTCCTTTCAAATGCTTTTTATTTTCTAAGCCTCCAATTAGCTTTTTACCCTACTAATCTCATACCTCTTGGGCTTCCCTGGTAGCGCAGTGGTTGAGAATCTGCCTGCCAATGCAGGGGGCATGGGTTCGAGCCCTGGTCTGGGAAGATCCCACATGCCGCGGAGCAACTAGGCCCGTGAGCCATGGCCACTGAGCCTGCGCGTCCGGAGCCTGTGCTCCGCAACAAGAGAGGCCGCGATAGTGAGAGGCCCGCGCACCACGATGAAGAGTGGCCCCCGCTTGCCACAACTAGAGAAAGCCCTCGCACAGAAACGAAGACCCAACACAGCCACAAATAAATATAAAAATAAATTAATTAATACCTCTTGCTGAACTGTTACACTAGCCTCTCCAAGGCTTCCCTTCCCTCCACACATCCCAAGCGTTCTGCGGGGCTGAGTTCTCAACTCTAGCTTTGAATATCACTCACCTGAGGCTCCCCAGTCCTAAATGGTCAGAACAGGACTTCCTACAAATGATCCTTAAAGGCGCAGGACAGAGGGAAGGGAAGGAAGCTGAGTACTAGAGGTTGCAGGGAGGCTGAGTAGAGAGCTGGGCATTTTAAGAGCAATCTGGGCTCCAATTCCAGTTCTACTGGCTGTGTGACTTCACGTGAGATAGCTTCTAAAATGGTAAAACCATTTACCCAATGATTCGATATTACTGTGAGGAGTTTAGTAGCTATTGTAAAAGTCAAACTGTGTCTGGCATACAGCGTGTCCTCAAGGAAGGTTAATTCCTTACCTTGCCTCTATAATTAGCAAGATATGACATCCCTGATGAGCTACGTTACAGTACCAGATGAGGCTCACGTGGGCACCTAGGGGGTGTGAGAGGGCTGTGAGGCAGAGCAGGAGAAATTTCTAGGCATTTGTGACACAGAGTCTCCTGGGAGGGTGGCTTTATGGTCCCTGGGACCACAGATTACAATCCTGGAAATGAAGGCTCAGGGAACTTCTTAACCCAAGAACTTCCAGGTTGCCTCTTTTTTCCTCCCCTCAGTGTTTATTTCTTCTAAACATTTCGTCTCTGTATGTCGCATCTCCTCCTTGTTTATTGACTTTCCTGACTTCTTCCTGTGGTCGGATCCTCTGTGATTTTCCTGCTGTATTGCAGAGGATGTGCAGAGGATGTGTATGTTGGTTTCTTCTTTGTGCTTATATGTTTACCTCATTTCGAATGCTTGCCTTGCTTTGGGGTCTCCAGGCACACGAGCAAGACAAGCTGTTGGGAGAAGAGTGCAGCTGTGATTCTTCCTGGAGGCCATGGCAGGCAAAGGGGACAGCAGCACATCAGCAAGCAGAGTTACCAGTCACATGGAGCACCACCCAGCACTGCCCGGGCCCTGGGCACACGTTGAACAGGCGGCTGGCCCTCGGGACGTTTCCTTGTCTCCAGGCCAGTGTTGCCAAAGTCACAGCCCTGGCACTGGTGACACTGAATCATTTAGTGAAAAAGTTAACCGCTCTTCAATACTCTTTCCTTCCATGTCAGGAACAGTTCCTAGATCCAATGCAAGAGCAATTTATCTATTGAGTATCTATTTTGCATATTTATTAAGAGTATTTATTGTGTGTATTTTTATGATTATCCAGGATATTAGTTTTCCCCTTACCACAGTGGTAAAAAAGGCATCTCAGGCTTCGCTAGTGGCACAGTGGTTAAGAATCCGCCTGGCAATGCAGGGCACATGGGTTCGAGCCCTGGTCCGGGAAGATCCCACATGCCGCGGAGCAACTAAGTCCATGCGCCACAACTACTGAGCCTGCGCTCTAGAGCCGCGAGCCACAACTACTGAGCCCACGTGCCACAACTACTGAAGCTCCTGCGCCTAGAGCCCGTGCTCCGCAACAAGAGAAGCCACCACAATGAGAAGCCTGAGCACCGCAACGAAGAGTAGCCCCCGCTCGCCACAACTAGAGAAAGCCTGCCTGCAGCAATGAAGACCCAACCCGGCCAGAAAGAAAAAAAAAAAAAAGCATCTCTTTACAGTACTTATCCTAGTAAAGAATGTGAATTTAAGGAAAAGTACCACATTAAGGCTCGCAGCAGTGAAAGGGCCCATGCGAGCCACAGAGGTCTGGGTGGGGTCTCAAGGGGCCGTGTGGGCCGGCCTCCTGGCTCTGGTTGCCTGGGCACCTCGAGCCACTTCTTTTGCAGGGAAGGAGTATCTGCGGACCTCAGTGACAGAACACAAGCAGGTGCCCCTGGGAAGGGCCCTTCTCCTCCTTCTGGGTGTCAGGGGCCACATACTTCCATCACCTGCATGCGTTAAACCCGAACCCTTTTGCTCGAGCCCTGACTTAAGGACCAGGGAAAACCAGATGCCCCCTTGTGAAGCCCCAACAATAATGTTTTCATACCAAAGCCACTGCTTCCCTAACAGATCAGAGGCTCCTCTAATCAAATGTAAAAATAGTTTATATAGAAAGAACTCACTGCTCTCATGGGTGTAAAAAAACGAGAAGCAAAAATTAAGGGAAAAGGAATTCCCTTGCTGGGCGCTAAGGTGCATTGTCCCTGACTCTGAGCCCCCTCCACCTCGCCTCTGCCCTTTCTGGGACCTCCTCTTCCTGTCTGCTGTGTCTCCCATCTGTGCTCCCTGGTAGGTGAGCTTCCTGGGAGTGGGGCCTGATCCAGTGCGCCCATCCAGCCCTGCTGCCATCAGCTGCCCTTGTCCTAGCCTCCACAGCATGGACTTGAATGATCCCAGCTACAAGATCCTGGCACATGGGCAATCCGAGCTTTGATTCATCTATTGTAAATAAAAACACAATAAGTCCTGTTCACCCAGGAGGGGAGGAGAGTACGTGTTTGTGTTTATCCCTTCTGCTCTTCTCTGCAAGACTCTGGTGTGAGTAAGGGGTTGGTTCCTACTTGCTGGTTTGATTGATGGTACACTGGCCCCCACTGTGCCCAGGTCCCCTGTTGAGACCCATGGAGAGGGAGGGAGGGAGGGGGAGAGGAGGGAGAAGAGAAGTTATGCCCCTTCAGGGTAACATTCCTGGGATCATCTCTAATTCGTTAATGGGATTAAAATCAAGATTACCAAAAATGGCAACATTTTATTTATCTACCATCTTGAGTCTCCAATGAGACCTCAGCTGGGCACAATGGGATTTGAAAACCAATCTGGGAAGTGGGTCACTTCCTCTCTTAAAGGGGTGTAAAAAAAGGTGAGGGCTTCCCTGGTGGCGCAGTGGTTGAGAGTCCACCTGCTGATGCAGGGGACGTGGGTTCGTGCCCCGGTCCGGGAAGATCCCACATGCCGCGGAGCGGCTGGGCCCGTGAGCCATGGCCACTGAGCCTGCACGTCCGGAGCCTGTGCTCTGCAACGGAAGAGGCCACAGCAGTGAGAGGTCCACGTACCACAAAAAAAAAAAAAAAAAAAAAGGTGAATGGTGGCTAACTCTGGGTGGGTGGCTTATTGATTGCTTAATTTTCTTTCATATGTGTTTTCTGTATTTTCTAAAATTCTTACAGTGATACATATTATCTCTATTATCAGAAAAATGATAGCGGTTATTAAATGAAATATCTTAAGTTCAATGACTGGTTACTTGAGTGAATTAGTTTGAGAATGAAATTGTCTCTTCAATTTCCTGATGGTCACAGAGCCCTGACGTCAGGCCCAGGACAGCGTGAGTCACTGCTCTCCTCCTTGGCTTTGTACCATCTGGTGGGTGGCTCCCATGGCAATGGGGCAAAGGTGAAAGGGATGTGGCAGGTACCTCTACGTCAGTCAAACCTACCTGCTCTAGTGATCGGTAAGGGTGATGCCAGGGTGAGCAGGCTGGTCTTGGAATGGCCTGAAAATTAACCAATCTACACAAGCGATGACTATTCTCTACTTGGACAAAAAATAGATTTTAAGCGGTGATTGGGAAGGATAATCACTACTTCAATACATTTAGTATTGGCTGGATTATTCTTAAAAACTGTTGAGATAGAAATAACTTGGTACCACAGAATCGAATCATAAGCCCTTTAGGGCCAGAGGCCATGCCCTCAGTCTTGTTTGTGTCATTTCCTGGTCTCTACACCCCTCCCCCAGCACCGATACATGGGTGTGACTCCTTCAGGAAAACCTGGGTAACAAAATCTCAGTTTAGGAAATCTAAATCGATGTATTCAGGTTTTGTAAATACAGAAACCTAAATTTGTGTTTTCAAAAGGATTCACAGAAAGGTTTCTTCAAATAGATGTCCTTGCAGCATTTAAAATGTTTTATTTACAAATGTTTGTGTGTTCCAGGTACATTTTTGTAACTTATAAGTATGTAGTGCTCTTTTTGTTCTAAGGGCAGGTGTTTTTTGTTTTAAAGTACTTTTTAATTAGGTACAACATATAAACCGTAAAGTGCATTAAGTATACCTCTCAGTGAGTTTTTACATATGGATACACCCATGTAAAGACCACTAGATCAAGATATAGAGCATTTTCTAAACCCCAAAATGTTTCAGCATGCCCCTCCCTAGTTAGTATCCTTTCCCCATAAGGAAAGCACCAAGCTGACTTCTATCATCAAATTAGATTTTTTTTTTTAAGACTGAGCACGATCTCAGGATATTTTTAGCACACTATTATTTCTCACCATTGTATTAGAATTCAGTCAGTTGAGAGTCAATGAACCGACATTTATTGAACATCTACTATGTGCCAGGAATTGTTCTGGACCCTAGGGATATAAGAGAAGTTAGGGATTATCTACTTCAACCCATCACTTCATCAGGTAAAAAAACTGAGGCACAGAGCAGGTTAAATGATTTGTCCATGGTCATTCTACCAGTAAAGAGCAAAGCTGGATGCTTTTTCTACTCTTTCTCTTCAAATAGCAACATTTGATAAATGCATGTGGACTTGATTGTACAATCAATACCCCAGGAAGCTACATTTGTCCATTCTCCTCTGTTGTCTGTGGTGGTGCCAAATAGGTCCACAAGTCTAACACTTCCCTTAAAAGGTGGAGCCTAATTCTCCTCCTCTGTGTATGAGCTGGACTTAGTGACTCCTTTTTAAGGAAGTGAAAAAAGGTGGAAGGGACAGTGTATGATTCTGGAGACCAGGTCATAAAAGGTACTGCAGCTCCCTCTTTCTCTCTCTGGATTTCTGGTTCTGCTGGAAGTTTGCTGCCATGTGTGAGGAGAGCCCATGGAGAGGCCCACAGGGCAAGGAACTGAGGCCTCCAGCCAAGAGCCTTGTGAGTGAGTCACCTTGGAATCGGGTCTTCTAACCCCAGTCAAGCCTTCAGATGACGGTAGACCTGGTCAACTGCTTGACTACAACCTCATGAGAGACCCTGAGCCAGAGCCACCCAGGTAAACCACTCCTAAAGTCCTGACTCTCATGTAATGTGTGATGTAACAAATCTTCATTGCTTTAAGCTGCTAAATTTGGGGGTAATTTATTATATAGCAATAGAGAACTAATACACTCCCTTATTACCACTTTATATTTACTCCGACCCTCTCCTGACCTTCCTCCAATATCCTATTTTACAGTTTGTGTCTTTGGGGCAATGATGGACACATCTTTTTTAGCTCTGATATTTTTTGCTATATTTATTTATTTAATAGCTTTCTTGAGTTATAATTCACATACCATAAATGGGTCAACACATTTTTGAAATTGTGGTTTAAAACTACACATTTTAACCATCTTAAAGTATACAATTCAGAGGCATTAAGTGCATTCATGATGTTGTGCAACCGCCACCACTATCCAGTTCCAGAACTTTTTCATCTCCCAAATGGAAACCCCATACTCACAGCTGACACATTTTCAAAGATAAATTTAATTTTTTTGTCCCCCAAATCTGGCACAATCAGGTAGTAAAAAGAAAAAAAATTAAATAAAACTTCTTTAAAGGTAAACAAAATCAGAGAAAACACCATTAATACTTCTAATGACAGCATGTGAATCTGTTCACATTCTTGTACAGAATAAGAAAATTCAATGAGTACATTCTATTATGGATAACATAAAATCTCAAATAAAAGTGTTACCAAAAGATCAGTCTTGGGCTTCCCTGGTGGCGCCGTGGTTGAGAGTCCGCCTGCCGATGCAGGGGACACGGGTTCGTGTCCCGGTCCGGGAAGATCCCACATGCCGCGGAGCGGCTGGGCCCGTGACCCATGGCCGCTGAGCCTGCGCATCCGGAGCCCGTGCTCCGCCACGGGAGAGGCCACAGCAGTGAGAGGCCCGCGTACCACAAAAAAAAAAAAAAAAAAAAAAAAAAAAATCAGTCTTTAAAATTCTCTTTAGGTCCATCGAGTGCAGAACATCCACATCATACATAGCGATCAAGAAACTCTAACTGGGTACAGCTGCTGGGACAGCAGGGGGAGCAAATAGGTATCATGTAGGGATGGCCTCCAATCTTATAGTGTTAATGGTGCCTACAGCCTTGGGGTTAGAAGGCTCCGGAAGGAACCTCTGGGCTCAGTTACTTCATAATATCCACCACAGGTTTGGGAGTGAGGGTTAGTGGCACTTTGGCCAGATGCATGCCAGCCCAGGAGTAGGGTGCATGTTGGTAACAGGTGTCATTAATTCTAGCACCATTTCTTTCCAATCATTGTTATTTTAATACAAGTTAGTTGTAACCGGAGAATATTGCTACTGAATTGCAGGAATGGCTGTACCATGACCTATATCATATAGCTTGGTAGTTTCAGTTTCTAGTGTCCTCTGCAGAAGAGGACTGAGGATTACTGGCAGAAGAGTATCTTCATTAGGCATATTTTTCTCCCCTCTCCCTCTGAGAGGACATTACAACTTCACTATGGCGTGTCCTAGACTTCCCAGATATGCAGACTGTGCTCCTACCCCTGGAGGGCAGCTCGAGAACAGAAAAGCTACGGTTGGAAGATATTTATATTCAGCCCCGTATTCAGCTCATTGGATTAGCACCTTCCATGGTGTGAGACTTTCTCATTTACTCATTTGTTCATTCATTCATTTATTTTTTTTTAAAGTATTGAGTGCCTTCTATGTACCAGGCATTGATCCAGGCATTGATGATAGGCAGTGAATGAAACAGTGGAGCTAATGTAAAAAAGAGTATAGTTTTGGGACATACTTCTCTGAGTTTGACACTCTTGAAGCTAATCTGGACTGGTCCACGTTAGTAGGACATTGGTGGGGCTAAGAAAGACCTGGCAGGTCAAACTGTGCATCCTCCTTCCCCAACTTCAGAATCTCAATACAAGCAGTAAAACTGAGAGAATAAGAGAAACGTGGATGTACCTTCATCTGTGTTACCAAGGCTCGGTATCCCGGATGCTGGCCATTTCCTTTTTCAAATTGCTTACTTGCATCATCTCAGGACAATATTATCCTTTTCCAAGGTTTCTCCTCACTGCTACCGAAGAGCGGTGCAACTGAATATATTATGAGACATAGCTACACTCATGAGAATAAACTAGAAAAAAAGTCACCAAGCAGATGACAGAGACCCAAGCACTGCCATGAGCATGCCCACAGAGCCAGACGCACCACACTTTCTGGGCGGGGCTCTAGCTTTAGTGTCAGGAGCAAAAGGAAGGCAGGCCTCAGCAGTGTTCCAAAAACCAGTGGTGCTCATAGTGGAGAAGCGAAGCACCCTTCCCAGGCATGGGATACATGAGTCAGAAGAAAGGGTAGAAAAAGAACCACAAAAGAAGCGGGGTAGCAGGCAGTCCAGACAAGATGAGCAGTGGCTGGAAAAAACTGGGGAAAAAACAAATTTCCCTATTGTAAAAACCAAAACCAAGGAGTAGGCCTGGTGCCACACTGATCTTAATAATGCAACGAGCCTTATGCTCCATGACGGGATGAGTGACGAGGTGAGTGAAGAGATGCATGAGCGAGGGGTGAACCAAGCCAGCATACTCACATGGGATGCCTAAACACGATGTCTCACAGACAGGGAGAACCCCTGGCCAATAGAACCATTAACAACTGTCTGACCCTTTCATTTGTTCCAAGAAATGTGAATCACTCCAATAAAACCCAGCTATGGGCAGAGGGAACTCTAACATCTGACTTGTGAGGCAAAAAGAACCAGCTGCTCCAGGTTCCAAGACTCAACAACTTCCTCTTTCAAATCGTGTTCCCCGCTGTCCCACAGCTCAGGAAAGAGGGAATGAAGCCAGTCACCCTCTCCTCTAGACACACGCCCCAGTCAACAGCAGAAGTGTTCAGATTTTATCAGCATCTCAAATGTACTAGGGGTTGAAATTAGACACCTCACTGTGGTTTAGGAGCAAGAGAAGGGCCAGGTGAACCCAGGTTGGGAGAACAATGAGACAAGAGTCACAAAGTAAAGGCCTGAAGTCCAACTCGCAACAGAAAGGCTTTCTAGCTGCCCCTTAGGTTGCCTGAAATCCTACATCCAAGGGCCCCAAGCCCCAGTGGCCTTGGGATCACAGCGGGGATCTTGTGCTGGGAAGTACACGGGCACTGAGTGTTTCTGGTAGAACTGCAGACGGGAAAGGAGCTGCTTGACGATATGAGGATATTCTCTTGACAGGTCATGCCTTTCCTGTGGGTCCTGATCAATGTCAAAGAGCCAGAAGGTCTTGGTCGGTGGGTCCAAGGAGGGTATCACGGAAACATTATATTGAGATGGTGGAGGAAACCAGTAACCACAGCCTGGCAAAGAAATACAACAGTTTATTGGAGGAGGAGTATTGTAGGCAGGTTCTAATTTCAAGGAAGGAGTCTGGGGGACAAGGCTGAGCTCTGTTGTGGGTATGGACACGTAAAAAAATCTGGCCCTTGATGCTATGTCTAGATCTGTCTCCGACTCTGACTTCTGGTGCTTTAACTAAACATGTCTCGTGTGTGTGTGTCTGGGGGTGGTGGTGGTGGTAGTTAATTTTAGTTGTCACAGTGACTTGTCAGGGGGTGCTACTGCCATTTAGTGGTCTGGGCCAGGGATACTAAAATATCTTAGAACGTATGGGACAGTCACAAACGATGAAGGACTGTCTTGCCGCAAACGCCAAGAATGCCCTCATTATAAACATTGCTTAATTGCATCACAATCTTAACCATCGTACCACATACCATAAAAATATTTAAAAGATGTCACTTCTAGAGAATGTGCTCAGGGGAAGCAACCTCCTCCCCCCGCTATACCATTGGTTGAAGATGTAGCTTTCAGAGATGCTCTTTGCTAGCTAGAAGTGCTGTGCTTGACGGTCGTGCATATCGGAAACCCTTATTTTCCATGAAGCACTAGAGCTGCATTTCTTCCTTTCACCCTCCCCCCGCCTCTACAGTTAATTCTTAATTTTTAAAAAGTTTAGGACCAGATGACACTCCTTCCCCTCATTCAGCAGCCCCAGAGATCATGTTTTGCAAAAGGCAGTTGCTCTTTGGTAAAGTTCTCCTAGCTGTTCTAGTGGGAAATGTTAAGCCTTCTACCTGGGTAGCCCGTGAGGAGTTTCCAGTTCCTGTGTCTGATGGCAGCATGGACAGATGTGTTGAAGCCTGAATATTCTGGAAGGGAAGAATCATACTTTGCCGGAACCATGCTGTTCCCAGGACCTGGTGAGAGGGTTTGGAAGAATCAGATCACTGTTACTGGAATGTGTCGTCATAAATCAACATTTTACATCCCTCTTGCAGAACAGTAGCTTTTATTCAACACTGGCGCGTAAATGTGGATCCTGCCACAGAAATGAATCTTCTATTAAATATAAACAGAAAGCTCCAGTTACATTAAACGTCAGTCATAAACCACCACTAATATAAAGGAAATCCCAAAGAGGTTAGAACACTAATTCATCCTTAAAACCACTATGTTCTGCCTACGTACAGCTGGCCATATGCAGAACTGTGTTCTGTGACAGCATGTGGGGTTGTTTCTTTGGTAGGTTTTGTTTTTGCTGTTAAATGATTGAGTTAAATCCATTCTCTGTGTATACTTGTACACCTATGCAGATAATATAATACATTATAAAATGCACATTTTAATGGAGTCTGTCTCAAGCTATGAGAGTTCAAGCATGCCATGATAAATCGTACATACATTTATTTTTTTAACCACACTTATGAAATCTAAAAGTAAGTGAGCAACGCTCAGTTAACTATTCGGATAAGATAATTCTGGTATATAAATTATTAGTTGGTATCATGGATTATATTAATTTATCATCTTGAGGTCTTATATTAATTGATCATCAGGTTTGGAGGGGCACAATTAATAGTGCCTGCTCCCTCTTCCCCTCTTGACTTTGGAACCAGTTGAGAGGTAGAGGCCAGAGAGATGGAGCTAAAAATATTGCTTTTGTTACTGATAAAGTTGATTGGAGAGAACATAACTTCAGATCTGTGTCAGAGAGGGCTTGCTAATAATTGACGCTTGTGTGTTGACATATATCCTGGGGACAGGCTGGCTCCAAAATTAGACAAAAGGGTCTGAACTGAGCATGCTCAGTTCCTTCTTTCGGATAACTTCCTTCTGCACCTGCTTGTGGGGAGGAGCGAATAAGGTGAGAGAGACCTGAGTTCTACTCTAGTTGAAGGCCCTGGTGGATCCCTGAAGGCAAGGTATGGAGGTCCCCACCTCACTCCTACCTGTGCATGTTTAAAAGCCTCAACTTAGGGCTTAATTGTTTAATATTTAGTCTGTTTTAAATCCACATTTATCTGTCAACTTTTCAAATATGGTCATAGCAATCACCTTGGGTGTACTTCCAAAGGCTGTCAGACTACCTGTCCAATGACTAATAGCTGTAGTGTGTGATGTGTCTGTAAAAGTGCCCTCACCACCATCTGTCCAGCATCGCCATCATGTGATGAAGGACTTTGAGAGTGCCCTCCACCCCGCCGGAGCGGGACTTCTGTGCTGCACGCAGCTTAACGCGGGAAGCACTGGCAGTGGTGGAAAAGGCAGGGAGTTTCATTCTTTTTCTTTTTTTTTTTTTTTTTTGCGGTACGCGGGCCTCTCCCGCTGCAGAGCACAGGCTCAGGACGCGCAGGCTCAGCGGCCATGGCTCACGGGCCCAGCCGCTCCGCGGCACGTGGGATTTTCCCGGACCGGGGCACGAACCTGTGTCCCCTGCATCGGCAGGCGAACTCCCAACCACTGCGC